ATGGTAAATAAAAATAAATTTGAGCTTTATAATTTTATTTTAATTATTACCTTTATTTTATGAAATATATGACGTGGATTATAGTCTTTTAACTTGGTTTCTTAGTGGGGAAAAACCTAAAATTTTGAGTGTTGAATATATTGAATATTTTTAGATGCAATATACCATAATTTAATGTGAATACGATGACTATAAATAATATTGAGCTTGTTTATTTAAGTTTAACTATTACGCATATGTATAAATTATGGGTCATTCATTTACAATAGTTTTAAATTAGTTTCTTAAAGGTGAAGCAACCTAAAGTTTGGTGATGGAGAAGGAGAAATATATAGAAATTTTTTAAATCTATTATCCCTTAATACAATGTGATTATGGTGAACAAAAATAATAGTGAATTAGATTATTTAAATTTAATTATTACCCATATATATAAGAGGTAACCAAACTCTTGCAAGCATGTACCATTTATCCTATCTCTGGCAGTAAGTGGGTAAGCTCAGTGCAGGTTGTACCTAAGAAATCGGGACTTACAGTGGTCAAAAATGAAAAGAATGGACTTGTTCCTGCTAGTGTTCAGAATAGTTGGAGAGTTTGTATTTATTACAGGAGATTGAACCAGGCTACGAGAAAGGATCATTTTCCTTTACCGTTCATTGACCAAATGCTTGAACGGCTAGCTGGTAAATCACATTTTTGTTTTCTTGATGGTTTTTTAGGTTATTTTCATATTCATATTGCACCGGAAGATCAAGAGAAGACCACTTTTACTTCTCCCTTCGGTACTTTTGCTTACAGGAGGATGCCTTTTGGTCTTTGCAACCCTCCTGGTACCTTCCAGCGATGCATGATTAGCATTTTTGCTGATTTTATCGAAAATTGCATGGAAGTTTTTATGGATGATTTCACTGTTTATGGTTCTTCTTTTGATGCATGTTTGAATAGTCCGAATATGGTTTTAGAAAGATGCATCGAGACTAACCTTGTATTAAATTATGAAAAATGCCATTTTATGGTTGAGCAGGGAATCGTTCTTGGTCACATAATTTCTGATAAAGGAATTTTTGTTGACCCTGCTAAGATTGATATGATTTCTATACTGCCTTACCCTTCTTGCGTTTTCGAGATTCGTTCTTTTCTTGGTCATGCAGGCTTTTACAAGCGTTTCATCAAGGATTTCAGCAAGATAGCTCTTCCACTGTCAAACTTGTTGAAAAATGACGTCACTTTCTATTTTGATGACAAATGCAAACAATCGTTTGACTTCTTGAAGAAAGCATTGACATCCGCTCCCATAATCCAGCCCCCTGACTGGACCCTCCCTTTTGAGCTTATGTGTGATGCTTCTAATTAGGCTGTTGGAGATGTCCTTGCACAAAGAGTTGACAAGGTTGCCCATGTTATTTACTATGCTTTTAGGACTTTAGATTCTGAACAGTTAAATTACACTACCACTGAAAAATAACTGCTAGCTATTGTTTTTGCTCTTGATAAATTCAGATCTAATTTGCTAGGTTCCAAGGTTGTTGTTTTTACTGACCATGCAGCTTTAAAGTACTTGTTGAAGAAGCCGGATGCAAAACCGAGATTGATTCGGTGGATGTTGTTGCTCCAAGAGTTTAATGTAGAGATTAAAGACAAGAGTGGAGCTGAAAACTTAGTGGCTGACCACTTGAGCAGGATAGAGAGAGATGAAGATATTTTTCGTATTCAGGATGACTTTCCTGATGAGAAGCTTTTACTTTTGCATGGGATAACACCTTGGTTTCCTGACATTGTTAATTATCTTGTTGCTGGTGTTTTTCCTACAGGTGCATCTAGATCAAAAATTCACAAACTCAAGAGTGATGCCAAATATTATGTTTGGGATGGTCCATATCTTTGGAAGTTTGGTAGTGATCAGGTAATTAGAAGACGTGTTCCCGACTATGAGATTGAATCCATTTTAAATTTTTCTCATGCATCTCAAGTCGGAGGACACTTTGGCCCTCAAAGAACTGCAAGAAAAGTTCTTGATTCAGGTTTCTATTGGCCAACTGTTTTTAAGGATGCCTATGAGGCTTACCGCACTTGT